CCAAATACCTCCGGTTTTCGCTCGTCTTCCATCCACAAAGTATGCCATTAACCGTAGAGGAAAACTATCTGGACGGATGTAGGGTACATGCTGACCTTGACGATGGATATGTCGCGTCGGGTCCATGGATGTTTTCTAAGAATCGAGTGAACCCTGCGGGCAGCAGCGGTCAGGGAGGCAGTGTCGCTCTTCCTCTGTCCACTTGGCCTCGGTCCCACCACGAGGTATCTGAGGCCGTCTACTTCTTCTTCTTCAAGTTGACAGCCGTTAATTGTGAGGGATGCTACCTGGTCAGGAATGCAGCTCGAAAACAACTTGGTCTTCCCAACGTTTGATGGAGAACCGACCAAAGCTGCGACTTCATTCGCCGTGAAACCACCAAGAATGGGGGCCAGCTCGGTGATATCGTCAGCATGGTCAAGATCAGTTAGCCGGCGCCCGGGTGCAGAGTAAACACCATCAAGACCGTGTAGGGCCCTTCCGTGAGTCCGGTAAATGGCGTAGTTGGAGAGAATGGGCAGCAGGATGCGGACTTGCCGTACACTAGTTTGGGAGAGATTGTCATGGACAAGGGCTCTCATAGCGGTAGAATGATCCTAGGCCTTGATCATGATGATTTTGGGCCAGGACATTACTTACGCTGGTGAACACAGGACTCACGATGGGCGGAGTCAAGCTTGTGGCGGACATCCATCATGACCGGTCTGGCGTCATTGTTCAAGACCTCGCTGCCTCAAGGCCATCCACCCTTTTGCAGTGAGCCGTTCCAGATGCGCTGACCTGAAGTCACACGATCGACAGTTCGAGTATACCCGCGTCCGCATAGTCGCAGCTGCCTATGCGGCCATTTGAACACACCCCACCCCCAGCAACCAGCAAAAGAAGCCATTGGGACACCACCCCTCGTCAAATGCAACACACACGCGGACTGGACACCAATTGAGCTTGGCCCATGAGCCTACAAAAGCGGCTGCCACCACTATCTTAAGGACTTTCAGGCATGACTGGACGCACTCAACACCAGCCCTGGCTTCGCCAGTGGCCACTGCCGTCTGAGAGGACAACTCCGGGTTCTGTGCACAATAAACCCCTAATTTTGGTGCCTTCCGTCCTCTCCTTCCAACACTAGGATTTACACCGATTATGGTAACGCTCAGACTGCATACACTTACACCACAAAACCACCACAAGCTCAGCGGCGAAGTCTACAGAGCAGACAGCCGTTGGTTTTGGTCATGGCAGAACTCTAGAATGTGCCTCAGTGTGAATGTCCAGTCTGCGCCTCCATGCCCAGCTGGAAATCCGACTAGGTTGGGCTTCGTCATAGCATCACACACGGCCCGTAGTCGCCTGAGAAGAACAACAGCGAGGACCGCAGAAGTGTTGCCGACGCTTTTGTTGTGGTACTTTTCCAACTTTGTGTTATCTCCCTTCTTAAAGATAGGCACAAGGAGAGTCTGCTTATTTCGCAGTTAACTATCACTGAAGGCCACTCCGCTATACGGGTAGCCAGCAGCTAGGTTAACGGGAAACCCGTCTCCGCGCGTGTGCGTGCATACTGCCTTGTAAAGCGTTCTGTCCTGACACCGGACCCAGGTAGGGGAAGGAACGGGTGCGATAGATGCTGTGCAAGTCCATGCACAAGTTGTCATGCCTGTTGTCACCCTGCTATGAACTAACAGTGGACATCGTCAAATTACAATACCTTCGATGGGAACTTAGATCAAATGGCTGCCTCCGCAATTTCGTCAACCAGTGCCTGCGCAAACGAGACGAGAGACGAAATCCAGCAAACCCCAGGTTTTGGCAGGCTCTTCAGTACGCGAAGAATGTCTCGGAGGCCCTTAGCCACCTATCGAAACCCCCTGGAATTAGGGTTGCACACAGACCAGAGTTAACCATAAGGCGCCAGATCATGAAGGCGAAAGACTCATTGCCAATGCAGGAGACGTCTAGAGTTGTGGGCAAAGCAACTATGACGGAGAAACCGGAAGACTGCTCCGGACGCGGATGGCCGGGCACGCGGCAGCAGTGAGGAGGAACAACGCCAGCTCCCAAGTCACGACTCATTCGACGGGACACAAGCACACAGTCAAGTTTGACGCAACAGACATTCTTGCTAGAGCCGACAACTCTGTGAGTCACTAACTGCTCAAGTCATGGTTTTCCGGTCCACAATCAACTAACATGCGCAACGACTTCCCTGCTCCATATCCAGTACTGAAACTTTGCATAAGCAAGAAAGGTGGCCGCGAGGAGAGCGTGCGGATGACCACTGTTTATGGCTTCAGTTTCCGCGAGCCAAATGGCCCAAGAGTCAGGCAATCAGTTTTTTGACGGCTTTCGATGAGCGTGGGAGAAGAGAATCTCGACTGGCACACAGGCGCATTGCATGTTTCAACATCTGGGCAGTCGAGCCGTGATGCACTCGGGAGTTACCAACTGTGATAGAAATGTAGCAGCCTAGCAACTACATCCTATAAATAGTGCAACGCCTTGGCAATCCGCTACCGTCATCTGACTCGACCTCCGAAGATGGATTCGAGTTAGAATCCGAAATACCAGATTAATAAGGCTCTTGTTTCAACGATCGTACCTCTTTCGCGAACTGTAGTAGAGTCTTCGCAGACGGTCGCAGGGCCACCATTTATAAGTGCTGGAAGTAGTGGCAACAAAGTCAAGTTGATCTGGCCATCATCACCGACTGGGTTACGGAATATGATCGTCCAGTTGTATCTCAAAGCTCAGTCTAGAGCCAACGAAGACAGCCACCTAGCGACTTATACAAAAGACGAGACCAGTAAAAGCAATTTCACCACAGTTAAAATTATAAGTCTCAACCGACAAGAAAAAGAGTTCATGCGCTAATGGTAAGGGCGCTGGACTTCTGATCAACAGAACGCAAGTTCGACTCTTATGGGCAGCAAAGGCCTGGGGTTGGTAATGGCTGGCTGATGACGGCTAACAAGTCGGGAGTGGTTATTCCAGTCTTCCCTGTCTTTATCGGTACCTTGTTCAGCAAGTGTTCTCGGTAGTAAATGCTGGACATCCACACACTGTCCGATTGGCAGACGGCGAAGTATACGACTTGCCACAATACCACACCTTCTGATGGCTCGGGCCAGAGGAGTGACAGCCTCTCGTATGGCGGTAGACGTCCAGTGTGCCAGTATCAGTGGATCTCAACACCGTTGATGGACATTTTCATTGGGTTTTGGGGATTTTGTGTACAACAAGGTCCTCCAACAACAGCTCGGATTGTTTCATTCATAATTCGTGGCTTTTCTCCTCCACAGACATTACTACTACTACTACTACTACTACTACTACTACTACTACTACTACTACTACTACTACTACTACTACTCCCACCGCCACCACCAAGACCACCGGCATCATCATCATCAGCATCGGCATCATCATCATCAGCATCGTCATCATCATCATCATCATCATCATCATCATCATCATCATCATCATCATCATCATCATCATCATCATCATCATCATCATCATCATCATCATCATCATCATCATCATCATCATCATCATCATCACCACCACCACCACCATCATCACCATC